CGGCAGGGACCATGTCCCCTCCCGTGTAGACAGAAGTAAATCAAAAAGGAGGAGAAAATCGGATTTACCGCAGCACAGAGATGCTCAAAGCAGGAAAGGCAGATGGGTGCTGGAGGGCTGGTCCAGCACCGTGGCGGTGCAGCGCATCCCGCTCTGCTCCCGGCCCTGCAGCATCGAGAAGTTTGGGCCACAGTAGGTACGGGGTGTTTCCAGCCGGTGTGTTCTCCAGCTGGGATCTCTGCCATGGAAAAACCCTGCAACAGGCTTTCCCGGCATCCCAGGAGATGCTTCCCACTGGGTTTTATTGCTTGGGGTAGCATCAGGCGCAGGAGGGTGCTCAGCGGAGGGGATCACAGCCAGCCTCCTCCGTGAGCGATGGGATGGCGCGGTGTCCCCAGCCGAAATGTTCCCCGCTGGGTTGTTCTGCCTGCAGTGCTTTGGGGTGGGGGATCTTGGGGCCCACCCCGGCGTAATGCAGGGTGGGGACCCCAGCCTGGCTCCATCCAGGTTCCCACACGGCCTCGGGGCCATGGCAGCACTGCTCTGTGCCACCAGTCCCTGCAGCGAGCGGGTGTGTTTGAAGCTCTAGGATTGCTCTTGCAGGGTCCATGGGCACCATGTTTGCCACGGGGTCTCCCAGCATCCCACCCTATCCTGCCAGCTGGGGAGATGCTGGAAAAACTCTGCTCCTGCAAACGCCGCGTCTGGCAGGGAGAGCAGAGAAATCACTGGCATTGATTTTTTTCTTCCCTTGCCTGCCTCAACCTGCTGCCTTGGAGGAGATTTTTATTGCCCCCTTGGCTGGTGGTCTGGGGGCAGCAGGCACGGAGGCAGGCTGGCATCTAGTGACTGGCACTGGTAATACAGAGCGGTCCCAGGACTGCACCCCAGGGCCTGGGCTGGGGTGGCCCCAGCGGGATGAACCACGTATTGAGTGGTGCTCTGGTAGGGTCGCTGGAGGATGCCAGGTGTTTTGGGAACTCATTTGGGGATGCAGCTGGTGCAGACCCTCCGGGGCATGCGGCTGGGGTCTCTCTGGCAGCTCGCTGAGCATCTCCCTGCTGTGCCGTGGCCTCTCGGAGAAGCAGATCTGAAATTCTTGCCTTAAAAGCTGGGTTGTGTCCCATCCTCGGGATCTTCCCCAGCAGCCGCCCTCCGTGAGTGGTTTTCACCCGTTGATTTCTCTAATCACTTTTGGAAAGTGCGGTGGCGTTTGGCACTGGTAGCGTCGCGGTGAGGTGTTGAGCCGGGTTGCAGTGAGGGCTGTGCCTTGGGGGAGGCTTGCACAGACCCCCTGATGGCCACTCAGCACCCCAAATCTTGACCCATCTCCTGCCTGGTGGGTCAAGAGACTCCGCTCTGCTTGGGAGAAACATCTTTCCAGGCGGAAAAAGCACAGGAGCCGTAGTGGTAGGGTAGGATGACGAAGGCTCAGGTCCAGCCACGTGCCATCCATCCCTTGCAGCCCCCCCGGCATCACCTGAGGGACGATCCCTGGGGGACACGGGAGTTGTGCCTGGGGGTGTCACCGCTCTCCCTCCCAGGTCGGCCACGATGGGCTCAGTGGGAGCTGAACGCTTCAAGGAGCTGAGCCCGGCGGGCACGCCGGAGGGGAACGTGGTGATGAGCTTCAGCTTCGACAGCTACCAGCTGGAGGAGGACGAGCTGCAGCGGGGCAGCCAGGCCAAGGGCGTCCTCACCTTCATGGAGCCGGGTGAGGGTTTCCTGCTGGTTTCCCGGCTATTTAGGAGCTTTGTGGGATGGGTTTAATAGCCACAAATGGCCTGAAATGCCATAAAACTGCCTAATGCCTTTTTTCGGACCTGTTTGTACCCGTGTGAGTGGCACAGTGTCCCGTGGATGGGGCTCTGCAGGGAGCTGAGGGTTCGTGCCCAGGCTCACCCCTGGCCTCCAGCTTCACCCTTTCCCGTGCAGGGCTGGAGGATGCTCCTGGGATTTACCCCAGCCCTGCTCCACATCCCGGGCAGCCCTGTCTACCTCCATCCCCTCCCGTGCCCGTGTTACCTGCACTGCCTGGCTCTCGGGTGGTTTGGCTGCCATTAGAAGTCACCGGCCCCCAAAGCCCAGGTGCTCTCCTGCCTCCCGGGTCTCCTGTTTCAACGTCTTTATTTAGGGAAGGAGTTTTTGGGGCTGGGGCCATTTATTCATGAGAGCTGTGGGGTGCTGGGCTGCTTGCTCTGGGTGCCCCCCTCATTGGCATAAAGGATGTGGAAGCACCATTTATCACCCCATGGCTGGGGTCTGCTGCAGGTCCCATGGGTGCAGCAGTGCCACTGTCATGTCTTTCTCTCTTTCTCTTTTTCGGATCAGTTTCTGAGGATCCCGAGCCCCAGGACCGATACCATGGGATTTACTTTGCCATGCTGCTGGCTGGGGTGGGATTTCTTCTGCCATACAACAGCTTCATCACCGACGTGGACTACTTGCACCATAAATACCCAGGTAGGTCTCCAGCAGCTGCAGCACTTCCCAGTCACCCCAAACCTGGGGAGAACTCGGACTCACTTCCAGGGGAGCCAGACCCCCACCACCCCCCATCACCTGCCTCTCCACAGGGACCTCCATCGTTTTCGACATGAGCCTCACCTACATCCTGGTGGCCTTGGTGGCCGTCATCCTCAACAACGCACTGGTGGAGCTGCTGAGCTTGCACACCCGGATCTCTGTGGGTGAGTGGGGGTCCCCACAGCCTCTGGCAGCACCGGCTCCACATTGCCGACCACCACCATCCGCCTCCATCTCCCACCCGCAGGTTACCTCTTCGCCCTGGGGCCCCTGCTCTTCGTCAGCATCTGCGACGTCTGGCTGGAGCTCTTCACTCGCAGACAATGCAGAAAAGCCTATGCCATCAACCTGGTCGCCGTCGGGGTGGTGGCCTTTGGCTGCACAGGTATGTGGGACAGTGGCTGGTGCTGGGCAAGCACAGCCCTTCAGATAGGGCTGGGAAAACATCCCCATCCCCAAGAGCGTGTTCTTCTGGGACAACCTCTTGCTTGGATCCCTATAAGCTGACCCTCATGTCCCTGCTCTGTCCCTGCGAACTCTGTCCGGGCACCGCGGGACTGGATGGGGGCACCAGCACCAAACTGTCCATCAGTCCCTGAAACCACGATGGCTTTGCCATTTCGGCCACCATGGTGGCTTACCAAGACCCTGCACCTGGTGGCCCCTTTTGATGGGAACAGCCATAGTGGGGCATCCAGGGAGAGTGAAAAGCCCCTCCGCTTTTGGGACAAGAAGGCTTCGGGCGCTGCATCGACTGTTCAGGAAGGGTGCAGCTCCCGAGCGGCACGACACTGGGGTTTCTTCCCCCTACCCGGCATTTCGGCTGCAGCAATAATCCCTCCTTCTCCCCTCGGCGCATCCCTCCTGAAGTGCAGCAATCCAGCTTCTACGGCTACACGGGGCTGCTGCCCAAGCGCTACACGCAGGGCGTGATGACGGGAGAGAGTAAGTACCTGCATCTGCACCCGCGTTCGACCTCGCTCGGGGGGGGACGGGACCCTCCTCTATGGTGTCCCAGGGCTCCAGCGAGTCACTCCGGGGCCCTGCTGTGTCCAGGTTGCCAGCAGATCAGGTCCACCCCAGGGTGCTCCCTGGCAAACCAGGGTGGTTAATGGTTTGTAAATCACTGCCACACCAAGCTGGGGGTGGGGGTGTCTCCCAAGAGCTGGCTCCACTGCCCCAGAAAAACCACTGCTTGTAGGTGCTCCATACCTGGAGCCATCACTTCCATATGGTGGGGGGGCTGCTGGGGGGTCCCCGAGCCATAGGCCTCAGCAGGATCCAGTGCCAATAGCTCTCCCATGCCATCAGGCACCGCCGGGGTCATCATCTCACTCAGCCGCATCTTCACCAAGCTACTGCTGTCAGATGAGAAGGAGAACACTGTCATCTTCTTCTTCATCTCTATCGGCATGGAGCTGACATGCTTCATCCTCCACCTCCTGGTGAAGCGCACCCGCTTCGTCCGCTACTACACCACCTGCTCCCGCAAGGGTCTCCCCGAGAACCGGGGAGCCAGTGACCATGGGACAGGCTACCGTGTCCACCATGATGTCACTGCCGAGGACATCCGATTTGTAAGCCAAGGGTGGGTTTCCTTGATGCCCCTTGGTGTCCCTCTCCCCACTGGCGCTCAGCACTGGTGTCCCCTCTGCTCCATGTAGGAGAACCGGCCACAGGAGCAGCTGAGCTCACCCCAGGGCAGTCCGGGTCCCGAAGCTGAGCTGGCCGGCAGTGGCACCTACATGCGCTTTGATGTCCCTCGGCCCAAAATCAAGAGGAGCTGGCCCAGCTTCAGAGGTGGGTGGTAGGCTCAGGGGAGAGGGGTGAGACAATTTTGCAGCATTTTGTGGGGCATAAGGAGCAATGGGTGGCCTAGGGCTTTGGGGAAGGGTCATCCCTTTCTCAATGCACCCAAAAATATGGGGCAATCCCATCTTTGGAAGCCACCCTTGGGGTGCAGGCTCTGGGTTTTAGCTGAGCTGTGCTGCCCGTCCCTGCCAGACATGCTGCTCCACCGCTACGTCGTGTCCCGGCTCATCTGGGCCTACATGCTCTCCATCGCCATGACCTACTTCATCACGCTGTGCCTCTTTCCTGGGCTGGAGTCGGAGATCCACAACTGCATGCTGGGGGAATGGCTCCCCATCCTCATCATGGCCATCTTCAACCTCTCTGACTTCGTCGGTAAGGTAGGAGAGAATGATTGCCAACCTGGTGAGGGGTAACGTGTTCCCTCCACCCTTGTCTCCTTTTTGTGTCTTCTTTCAAAGCCGCTTGGCTCCATGGAGGGTCATCTCCACCCCATGGGTATCTAACCAGCGTGAGGTTGCTCACCGGCATGGCTGAGCTTGGGCTCCTGCAGCAGATGGTCTTTCCACCATCTCCTCTTCTTGCTGTCCCGTTTTGGGCACCACATTGCCCTCCGCAGCTTCCTCGCTGCTCCAGCACGGTCTCTGTTCCTTGCTGCAGATCCTGGCTGCCCTGCCCTATGACTGGAGAGGGACCCACCTCCTTGTCTACTCCTGCCTCCGAGTGGTCTTCATCCCCCTCTTCATCATGTGCGTCTACCCCAACGGGAGGCCCACCTTCGGCCACCCTGCCTGGCCCTGCATCTTCTCCCTCCTCATGGGCATCACCAACGGCTACTTTGGCAGTGTGCCCATGATCCTGGCTGCTGGGAAAGTGAGCCCCGAGCAGCGGGAGCTGGCAGGTAGGACCAAGCCCTCTCGGTGACCCCACACGAGGTGGCCAGAGCACCCTGACCACCCCGTGTCCCTTCCCACAGGTAACACCATGACCGTGTCCTACATGACAGGCTTGACGTTGGGCTCGGCCGTGGCATATTTTGCCTATAGCCTCACCAGTACGTCCCACAGTACCTGTTTCTACACCGAAACCTCCAACGGCTCCTTCACGTCGGGGTACTGAGCCCCGGGGCTGGGCATTGGGGACGGGATGGGACCCACTTCCCACCATCATCCCCACCGTCCCGCTCAGCCCATGTTCAGACGGGAGCCTGGAACCAGAAGGCTGTCCCAGGGTGGACAGGGACTGGCATCCCATTGGCATGGGGCCGTGGCATCCTGAAATGCCCCGTGCTGCCCAGCCAGGCACTTGGCAAGGCCACTTCTTGGGGTGATATCCCCCTGCTACTCTGGAGGATGGTCTCATTGCTTTTGGGGGGGGCTCCCCATCAGCGATGTGCAGCTCTCCAGTGGAGGGAGAGGGTGGGTCTTCTCCTGCTTGAGCCAAGGCACTGCCAGGATGAAAATACTGCCAAATCCCAAAGGGAAGAGGACCAGCGCTGCAGAGGAGGGTGATGGACGGCTGGTGAGGAAGAGGAGGGAGGAAGGAAACACTCCTTCAGTCCCTGGTGGCTCTGGGATGGTGGGTCTCAGCTTTCATTGATGGTGCTTCCCAAATACACCAATCGCTGTGTAAAAGACCCAATTCACTTCTGCTGGTTGGAAAAAAGTCTCTTCTTTTTTTGGGTTGTGTTTTGGTTTTTGCCCCCCTGAACTGTGAGAGAGAGAGGGTCTTGCCACTCCCCACTGTGGCTCTGTCCCGTCACAAAGTGGGGGCTCGAGGCCACAGCACTGCAGATGCCACCCATGGGCCACTGCTGAGCTTCAGGATTTATTGCAAGGGACGTTAACGAAGCTGATGCCAGATTAAACGTCATTATATAATGTCTGGTCATTAGTCGTGCCACTGGCATGGCCCTGACACTGCAGAACTCGGCTGCTGGAGAAGGGCTGGGTGATGCCCTGCAGGGTTTCAGGGTGCCCCTCATGGTGCTCACCAGGTCCCATCGAACCCCTGCCAGCCTGAAAACCGCTGCAGAAGCACGCCTTCGTGGGCAGCAAGTGGGAATGGGAAGGGGCTGAGCAGAGCAGAAACCATCTGGAGAAGGTGCCGACACCAGAGGCTGCTGCTTTCTGGGCCTGGCTGTACCTCGCTGTGCCAGGAGCCGGCAGGTGCCACCTCCCAAGGAAGCGAAGCCCAAGGGCTGGAGGGAGCAGGACCCCACCAGTGCCGGGGATCCCACCCTGCCAACGTGGCTGGATGAAGTGCAGCTCATGCCATCAGTGTCACCCCACAGGGTGTCTGTTGGACAGGGGGAGGCTCCCCAAAAAGCCACACGGTGCCTGGGTTGGGTCCTTCTCCAAGCATCAGGCAGGGGCTGAGCCAAAAAGCCATCATTGCCACCATGGGGTGAAAAACCCCGCAGTCAGGACAACCGAGACAAAGAAAGATGCTTTGGTGGTTTGGTGTTTTTTTTTTCAATTATTTTTTTTTTTTTATGAAAAAAGATCACACAGAGTTCGCCAACAAACAGAATGCCAAAAAAATTGTTTTAAACAAAACATAAACAAAACAAAACAAAAAAAAAAGACAAAAACCTGGCTCTCCTTTCCTCTCGATTGTCTGAAATATCCTTGTGTTCCATAGAAGGCAGTGGGTTTTAAGTGCTTTCTATTTAACATTAGCATAAAATCTCTCTCGCGCGCTCTCTCTCTCGCTCTTTTAAAATATGCTCACACAATTTGCTTCTAGAAGTACAGTACACTTTGAGCGTGGGGGGTGTGCCTGTTCCCAGATCATTTACAATCACAATCCAACAGGAAATAAAAAATAATATTCTAAACGTCAGACTGTGTTCATTTCTGCCGTTGTTTTTTTCTTCTTTTT